AAAGACCCCACAAAGAACAATCATCTTAGTTAAGCTGCATTATGCGCTCACAATAGATATAATTGGAAGGAAAGATTACTTTTCCTGTTTAAACATCTCCCTATTCTCAAATTAAACCTGATACAATTCAGCTTGGCAGTACAATGCTCTTCTGCACGGAAAATGTTTTCATCTGCAGACACATTTCATTTCTCATATGTCACCAACCTAAAGCATTTGGGACTATGTTTGGGATTAATTGGGAATTTTCTGCTAGTCTTTCTGATGTTTTGATGTGTACCTTTGTTTGAGAGTTATGCTTTTAGGAAGGAGCCTGTTGTTTAAAAATGAACTGGAACAAAGCAAGAATTAAAACCATGTTGTTACAATACATCTTCATTGAAAGTAGGAGAGAACACAGATTATTAAATAAAACTTGAAGAATATCTCCCTACAAATCTCTAGGTCCTCTAAAGTAACTCTGTGGTCACTGTAATGGATTGGCCTACCTTAAAGGGTTGGTTTAAAAGGCAAAAACCACTCCCGGCTTGCTAAAGCTAAGGAGAGCTGAGGGGAGGAGCAATGCAGCAGCCTCATAGCTAGAAGTGCAGTCTGATTGCCTGATGAAATTGGAGGGAAAAGCTCAGCAACTGGAGATGGGCGGAACCAGAAGGGGGAAATAAGATGCTGAGGCAACTATTTTAGATCAGTTTGGTGGGGAAGAAGTCAGACAGAAGTTTTGAAAGGGGAAGGGAACAGTTTGGGAACTGTTTTTGGTTTAAAGATATCTCTTTGAGAATAATAGTTAATAAGCCTCTATAGTGATTAGAGTGCTATGGGAGGAAGGGAGATCCTAAAGGTTTAAAAGACTATTTTGGAGTTCTGTATCTGGAACTTTGTTTAAATAACTCAAGATATAAGTACCATCCTCTGTAAGAAGTAAAGCCTGACAAGTTGTTTGAAACCATTACACATATTGTAAACAACTGATTCCTGTTTCATTTCAACTTAAGTCTTCATATGGCTTTTTAAACATTCCATTGAAGGAGGTGGCCTATTAAAATAATAAATTGGTGGCAGCAGTAGAAACCAATAATAAATAATAGGAGTTACAAGCTGAGTAGATGCGGGGAATGCCGTGGATGTAGCGTACCTGGATTTCAGTAAGGCCTTCGACAAGGTCCCCCATGACCTTCTGGCAAACAAACTAGTTCAGTGTGGGCTAGGCAAAACTATGGTGAGGTGGATCTGTAATTGGTTAAGTGGACGAACCCAGAGGGTGCTCACCAATGCTCCCTCTTCATCCTGGAAAGAAATGATGAGTGGAGTGCCGCAGGGTTGCATTATTCGCCGATACACCACACAGTCCTAGACACTTGGGAAGGGTCCAATATGTGATCCAATACAAAGGCCAGCAGAATGATCTTGTTTGCTGTGTATGAATATTGTTGTGTATCAAATAATAATAATTTGTTTTTTTCCTGCCTCTCCTTTGGCAGAAATTGACAATAGAGTCATCTCATAGAATTTAGAGATTTCTAGAGGGAATATATGAATCAAATTCATTAACAGTCAAGTTAGCAAATGTTAAAGTGGTGAATGAAGTTGGCCAATTGTATTATTGTTGGAAATAGCAACCTTCTACAAGCCTCCTACATTAGTTATTTGTTATAATGCAGATTGCTACTGTATTGTATATGTGTGTATTGGTGTGCAGTTTTCTTTAACTCTATGTTGTGGGAGGGGTCGCAAACCACATGATCAGATGTGGAACTGCTCTGAGCTCAAACTCCATTTTAGAAGTCAGTGGTTGCATCAGAAGCAGTACAATACAGTTTAGAAGTCAGAAGAAACAGAATGCTTTAGAGAAGAGACTCTGTTAGACTCTCAGAACAGAGACTTTAGACTGTTAAGATTATAAGAAAAAAGCCCTGTGTTACCTACACAGAGAAACTACTTCAAATCTATCTGTGACTGGATTGATATGCAACATATAATTTATTCATGCTGAATACATGAAGTTTGTAAGTAAACCAACTATGCTACTTTTAACGAAGACTACTTATTTTTGTCTCTTGAGAGCATGATTTTAAAAACAAGCTGTTTTAAGGTAGAGTAGGTTTCTTGACACTAAAAGAAACACTTCCGAAACTCTGCTGTTTTTATGCATTGGCATATCTTTGTTCCTGACAGTTCAGAAACTAATTTTCCTTGCATGAATACTAGTAGATATTTACCACTAAAGAAAAGATTTACGGTACTCAAACGAGTATTTAACTCTTCCCAGGAAGATCATACTTTGCGAAATGGTTATGATTACTCCAAGTAGTGTGAATGCCACTTCATCTCCAAAAGGGTCACACTTCCAAAAGCCTGTGGAGATTCCTGGTTTTCAAAACGTTTGTGATCTCTAAAAGGTCATGCCTTTCCAAAAGGTTATGAATGTCTTTTCCAAAAATGATTGACATTAGGGAAACACAGTAGAGAATACACCAAGAACCATGGCTTGAACCCTGTTGTTAGTCCCTAAGACCTACTGTATCCATGGGATTTCCTATGCGCTGACCTACCATCCTACCATAGTTTAATTCATTCAGTGTTCTTTTTTTTATTAGAAAACAACATCTGTGATGTGTTGGAAGCCACTATCTAACTTCAAACAGCTACAGAGTTGTGCTCTGCTGGAATGACAAATGGATCCTCAAGATCCTATCTGACACATTGGGCCAGTGCTTGGATTGCTTTTTTATAATATAGGAAGATAAAAATCTTGACACTTCAGACCGATCTCAAGAATGGAGCGAGTGCAAGCAGTGTGACTATAGTTGTTTAGCACTCGGAAGACTTTGCGGAGGGAAGAATCCTTCTTGTTGAGATTATTCCAAATTCTTCTTTCTTGTTACCATTGTCCAAGTCAACAGGTGTCTGTTATTTGCATTGTCCGGATTGCAGTTGGGTTGCCCCAGCCGCACATGGCATGCTATGATGTAAAAGTATACATAGCAATGTCAGCTGATAAGATACATTGGAATGCTGTAACCACAGTAGCACAGCAGTTAAAGCCGTAAGCATCAGGAAAAGCTACTGGCTGGCTGGAGGGTCAACAGTTTGAAGCCGCAAGTCGGGGTGCACTCTTGATTGTCAGTCCTAGCTTCTGCCAACCTAGCAGTTTGAAAGCATGCAGTATGAGTAGATCAATAGGTACTGCCTCGGCGGGAAAGGAAAAGGAGTGCCCTACATGCCGGCAAAAAAGATTGAAGATGTCTATGGACAGCAAGGCTCCTTCAGCATGGAAAATGAAACAAGAGTACCTCCAGATGCCGGACATGGAAAAAGGGAGAATACCTTTACCTTATCTGTGTGTTGTATGTCTGTTGTAGTAGAGCCTGCGGGTGACGGTGCTACCAGTAGTGTGGACACTAAAAGGGGTAAACGGGTTACTCGGGAGCAGGAGTCTGATGAGGAGCAACAAAGAAAGAGGATCCGGGATATACTTAATGCTCCCACAGATGAGGAGTCATTCTTGGGCTTTTCTGGGGACGATGGGTCAACAAGCGAGCAGGAGGAAGGAAACATCATGGATTGGTCTAAGGGAAGGAAAATGACTACTCGGGAACAAGAGTCAGATAAGGAACAATAAAGGAAGAGGATCCAGGAGATACTTAGTGCGTCCACAGATGAGGAGTCATTCTTGGGGTTCTCTGGGGTTGATAGGATAGAGAGTGATGAAGATGGAGATGATACATTGGACTGGACTAAGGTACAAGCTGTATGTGCGGAGCCGACATCCAGTGATACTTTTGTGGGATTCTCTGGTAATGAGGGCTGGCAATGGGGGAATACGGCTGAGTCTTGGGGAGATCTAAGTCTTGACAGAAGATGGAGAAGTTGGAGGGATGGGAGTAAGAGTTCACGTGTGGAATCAAGAACAGCTGCAAGGGATAACGACGGGGTGGAGGTCAGCTCATCTTCTGATGATGATGTGTAAGATAAAAGTAGACTCTGAAATGGGGAGTCTTTGCAGAAAGCAAAGCGTTGGCTCGTGAATTAGGTTCTTGTCGCTGCCTATTTCGTGTTGGTATTGTTTCCTGGATCTACAGGTTGCTGCTTCCATTTGTGTGTGTTTTCGACTTGGCTTGGATTCCCGTGAGTGTTGACTTCTCCTATCCTTGATTTCGGACCGGTTTGACTACGATGCTGACTACATGGACTTTGGGATTTTGCTACTTCGAATTCGGCTTACTTCGACCTCGGATTTCGTTTGACTACACTTTCTTCCCTGTGGCTCTTTTATTTGTTAACTGTTTACCTGCTGTGCTGTTTTGGGGGGGTTTGGAGCGCTTTTGTTATAATCCGGTTCTTTTCTCTGGATAATCCGGATTATTGCTTCAGCTTGTTCTTTTGAACCAGGACTGGTTTTTGCTTTTTAGGTTGGCCAGAGACACTGAGTTAAGTGTCTCTGAGCTCTTTTCTTTGCTTAATAAACTTTGTTTTGGAACTAATTCTGAGTCTGGCACTTTAAGGTGTCTGCGTCCCGACAATGTCGGTCATGTAAAAGGCATTGCGTGTTTGCCTTATGTGTACTGTAATCCACTCTGAGTCCCTCCGGGGAGATAAAGCGGAATATAAATGAGGTGTATTATTATTATTATTATTAAAGTGTATTATTTTAGAATAAATGTCACGCATCATATATGTATGTATAAGAACTATCAGTCACTGTTGTTGTCTGGCCCAAATAGGCTTCATTGCTCCTTTTCAGGGGAAAAGGGGGATGGTTGATGGACAGACAGATTGTCCACATAGGAAGTAAATGTATGATTTGCTGATCTGGATCTCAGCGTACTTCTTCCATCATGAAATGTTTACCAATATGTACCGGTCATTTGAAGATTGTTAACCATTATTTCATGATTGCACAACTGTGGCTTTGGATTTTTCTGCATGTCAACTCTGCTTCAGTTGAATTCAATTTGCTCGTAATACACCCAAGTCACTTTTGATTGTTGTGTGTTTCACAGGTATTCCACTTACAAAGACCCAGCAGACTGGTTGGAAATCAACCCGAACAATGGTACCATTCGCACGTCAGGGATACTTGATCGTGAATCCCCATTTGTGTCCAACAATGTGTACACGGCATACTTTTTGGCAATCGACAGTGGTGAGTAATGACAATTGTTTGAAAGCAGAACTTGCTGAGTTGGAAGAAGATGGATCAGCTAACTTGAATTCAGTTGATAATCATTTCTTACAGAATCATTGCTTTCATGGGGATGATAAAAGCCTGTGGTCGTGGGATTTTGGGGTCATTGTTTATGCAGGTGCGTCATTGTCATGGGAGCTGCACTCTTAACTCTATTTAACCAATTTCTGAAAGACACATCCACTTGCAGACTTCCAGTTTCTCTTTAGTTCTAATTTGATAGTAAAAGGGCACCGTGATATAAAATCTTGGCTGGAAAGATTTCCACTGTTTTCTCTATATATTGACAACAATAGCGAAGAACACAGTGGGAACTGACCTTCTGACTCAGTCTAAAGCTCCTTCTGATGGTAGCTAAGCCTGAAGAGAAGTGTTTTCTGACCTTTCTGAACAAGAGGAAAATCTCACTGCAAAAGTTTGAAAGCACCAAATTGATGGTATTGATGAGAATACCAGCTCATGGTCATCTGAGGAACCCCAGAGGTCTGGATTAAAAAGCCAAAAAGTTGGACCGTAGGAGCTGATTTTCTCTACTCCTGCCCTACTCTATGCTGGTGGTGGATATCCATTATAGTAGGATGCCTAGTTTGCATTAATCAAGAGCATTGTGCTATCACAAAACATTATACGGCGGTAATATTCTTCCCTCCCTTCTGTCCTTTCTTTCCTTCCTTCCTTCCTTCCTTCCTTCCTTCCTTCCTTCCTTCCTTCCTTCCTTCCTTCCTTCACACAATCAAGCTATGCAGCACTTTCCAAGACCAGTTATCTCCCCTAGGCTCACAATCTCATTAGGACCTGACAAGCAAAAGGTAATGGCAGTGTAGGAAGGGGTTAATTCCAGGTGATACTGCCTCTTCCTCTCACCTTCCAATGCAAGGGCAGTTGTGAGAAAGGGAGGGCCCTTAATCTGCTTCTAGACATCGACATGGTGGAGTCGTACCTGCCTCTTCTTCTCTCCCTTTGAGGCCAGGGCAGTGACAGTTGGGATGTAGAGCCTTTTATGTACTTCTGGGCTTAGGCATGATGGCCTCTTCTGGATGATGATGGAGCCATGCCTGCCTCGCCTTCTCTCCCATTGAGACCAGGGCAGTGGCAGTTGAGACCTATGGCACGATGGCCTCTTCTGGGTGATGATGGAGGCATGCCTGCCTCTTCTTCTCTCTCTTTGAGATCAGGGCAATGGCAGTTGGGGTGGAGAGCCTTTTATCTACTTCTGGACTTAGGCAAGATGGCCTCTACTTGATGATGATGATGATGATGGAGACATGCCTGCCTCTCCTTCTTTCCCTTTGAGGCCAGGGCAGTGGCAGTTAAGACATAGAGCTTAGGTATGATGGCCTCTCCTGGATGATGATGGAGCCATGCCTGCCTCTTCTTCTCTCCCTTTGAGGCCAGGGCAATGGCAGTTGAGACATAGAGCTTAGGCATGATGGCCTCTTCTGGATGATGATGGAGGCATACCTGCCTCTTTTTCTCTCCCTTTGAGGCCAGGGCAGTGGCAGTTGTGCAGCAAGGTCTTCCATCTCCTTCTGAACCTAGGCCCAATAGAGCTGCGCCTGCCTTTTCCTCTCTCTTTCTCTAAGGGCTTAGTGGGAGGGGGGTATGGATTAAGTGTGCCCAGCATGCATCAACCTCTTTTGTGTTTTTGATTGAATGCTGACCCATGCCACCCAGCACCCATGCTTCTCTTTATGCCTACCGTTGGCGACATAATACAGTTAGAAGGAATCCCTGCCATTGTGCCTTTTTATTTCTCATAATAAAGGAAGGCTTACAGCCATTGTTCCTGGGATGAGAGATATATAATTGTGGGTGGAATGAATCCCCCACCCACCCTGCAAAATATTTGAGCTAATATTAAGCCCTTGGCACCACCACAGCAATAAGTAACTCTCATCTTCACATAACCAGATTCATATTCCATTTAATGTGTAATGGCAATTAGAATGGAAACACAATTAAAAACCCTTGTTAAAATACAATATTTTAAACATATTATGTGGATTAAAGTCCCTTCTGTTGCACATAATCTAAATTAAAAGGCAGTACGAAAACCCTCCCATTGCAAGTTACTTTTGTCGCACATTAAAAATAGAAATGGGTGGAGGAGGAGAGATACGGAGTCCTCCAGCTGAAAGGCGAAAAATAAATAAATAAGGGCTTTGTATGTCGTGTCGAAAAAGCTAATACGCTTACGCTTCTCAGAGATGCAGCTGGTTTAGCTGCAGCGATGAATTGTAAAATGCTCTTTTTAAGAGGGTAATTTTACAGTTTTTTTTGTACTGCACAAGTCAGTACAGGGACGCATTTGTGAGGATTTGACAAGAATATGGCTTTAAAATGCAAAGCAGGAGAGGGGAAATGCCCCTTCGCTTTGCTGATTTGCTTGGATATTCATAAACGTATTTCTCTCCCTGAACCACCGAACTTATTCTTCATCCTGTATTTGTTAGTCTTGGATAATGCATCTTTTGTATGGAGTCTGAACACAAAATAGTAATGTGATTAGAATGGCCAGTTTCTGGCTGCACAGCAATGTATACAATGCTTAGCATGCTGAGGGAATGAGTTTTGGGGTTCTCAGAGCAATAACTATAGCAAAGGAAGGGATTTTTGGCCCTCCTGATGTTGTGAGTTATTGTTGGTGTTAGCTGCCATCAATTGGACTTCAGCTAATGCAGACCCTATGAAGGAGAGACCTCTGAGTTACTCTATCCTCAACAGCTCTTCTCAGGTCCTGAAGATCATGGATGGTGGCTTCCTTGATGAAACCAAGCCACTTCTAATGTGATCGTACTCTTGTTTCTACTGCTCTCTCTCTACCTTGTGAGATTATAGTTTCTCACAATGCGCTGTTCCACACCCTATATAAAATCATAAAATCCTAGAGTTGGAAGAGACCTGGTGGGGCCTCCAGTCAACCCCATTCTGCCAAGAAGCAGGAAAATTGCATTCAAAGCACCCCTGACAGATGGTCGCCCAGCCTCTGTTTAAAAGCCTCCAAAGAAGGAGCCTCCACCACACAGAGCAGGGAGTTCCACTGCTGAACAGCTCTCAGTTAGGAAGTTCTTCCTAATGTTCAGGTGGAATCTCCCTTCCTGTACTTTAAGCCTTTGTCGTAGTCTCCAGGGCAGCAGAAAATAAGCTTGTTCGCTCCTCCCAATGACTTTCCCTCACCTCTTGATTCCTGGCCCTCATCCTGTCTCTTCTCAGCCTTGACAAGCTGGAATGTGTCCAGAGGAGGGTGACTAAAATGATCAAGGGTCTGGAGAACAAGCCCCATGAAGAGCAGCTTAAAGAGCTGGGCATGTTTAGCCTGAAGAAGAGAAGGCTGAGAGGAGATATGATAGCCATGTATAAACATGTGAGAGGAAGTCACAGGGATGAGGGAGCAAGCTTGTTTTCTGCTTCCCTGGAGACTAGGACATGGAACAATGGCTCCAAACTACAAGAAAGGAGATTCCATCTGAACATGAGGAAGAGCTTCCTGATTGTGAGAGCTGTTCAGTGGAACTCTCTGCCCCGGAGTGTGGTAGAGGCTCCTTCTTTGGAAGCTTTTAAACAGAGGCTGGATGACCATCTGTCAGGGGGTTGGACTGGATGGCCCATGAGGTCTCTTCCAAATCTATGATTCTATGATTCTCTTCTTCAGGCTAAACATGCCCAGCTCTTGAAACTGCTCCTCATTGTTTTTAACTTACTGTTTTATTTACTGTTTTAAATTGTTGTTATATTTGTTATAATTGTTTTGTACGTTGTGGTATCCACTTGTTGCCAGTGTAAGCTGCTCTGAGCCCCCCCCCCCTTTGAGGGTTGAGAAGGGCGAGGTAGAAATGTTGGAAATAAATAAATAAATAAATAAATAAATAAATAAATAAATAATTTCTCCCAGGTCCTCCTGTCGAGCCAGGCATCATTTTCCATTCTGTCTCTTTGCATTTCCTTTTTTTTTCCTGCCTAAGTGGAGTCTCTTCAATTTGTCCCTGTTGGACTTCATTGTATTGGTTTTGGCCCATCATCTCTCTAATCCACTAAGATCATTTTGAATTCTGCTCCTGTCTTCTGGAGTGTTGGCTCTCCCTTCCCATTTGGTGTTGTCTACCAACTTGATGTTCATGCCTTTTGACCCTTCATCTAAGTCATTAATAAAGATCCTGAAGAGGACCGGGCCCAGGATGGAACCCTACTGATGGCAATCCACTTAGAATCATAAAGTTGGAAGAGACCATTCAGTCCAAACCCCTGCCAAGCAGGAAAATTGCATTTAAAGCACCCCCAACAGATGGCCATCCAGCCTCTGTTTAAAAGCTTCCAAAGAAGGAGCCTCCACCACACTCTGGGGCGGAGAGTTCCACTGCTGAACGACTCTCACAGTCATATAATCATAGTCACTTGTCACTTCTTTCCAGGATATGACCTTTTTAGAGAGGTCCTTCTTTGTCCTTTACCAGAGGAAGCAATGCAATGGGACGGGTCATCTTGTGGATATGCATAAACATCAAGGTCTCCTACAGAAACAGTTGGACCCCTTGGTCTGATGCAGAATGGATGTATTCAACTTAAAATTGCCAAAGCAGTATGGTACATGTTCTGCTCTGTGAGTGCAGTATTTTTTCAAAGAAAACAGAGTGTTGAGGATCGGGACATTTGGAGGTAGACCAAGAGGCTAGTTTAAAGCCATTGTCCTCCCAACCCTGTAATATACCTGTGAAACGTGGGTCGTCTACAGACTTCACACTCAACTTCTGGAACAATTCGATTAGTGTTGCCTGCAGAAAATCCTGCAAATCTCAGGTGGACGAATGTCAGCATTCTGGAAGAAGCAAAGGCCACCAGTGATGATCCTCTGCCATCCTCTTCTCTGGATTGAATCATAGAATCACAAAATCAAAGAGACCTCATGGGCCATCCAGTCCAACCTCCTGCCAAGAAGCAGGAATATTGCATTCAAATCACCC